CTTTTTCTTTCTTTTTTTTTTGAGTTCGTTTTTAATAACTGGCTCAAATTACAAAGGTCCCCAAGGAACCCTGGGGGAGGGAGAGGAACTGGGGGCGGCAGGGGTTCACTGCCAGCACCCACCACCCCCACTTGCCACCCGCTCCCCAACAAGTGCATGTGGAAAAAGGTCCCAGACCCTTTAAATAATCCTAAAAAACCATGATGAGATAGCAGGCAGACGAAGGGGCTCCTGCACCTTAACACTGGTGACCAGTGACCAGGCCGCCCTGACCCCCGGCCCGCTCAGGGCCCTGGCGCTCTCGCCCCGAGGCTGCCGCTCCCATTCCAGACCCTGCCCCCGGCTAGGCAGGGCGCCGTGCATCTCGTCCTCCAGGAGGCAGGGCCAGGCACTGTGTAAACATCGGCAGCGTAGAGCCCACTCGCCTGGGCGGCAGAGCCCCGGAGTCCAGGTGCCCAACCTCCCCACCTGCTCACGGCCCCTGGGCACAGCGAAGCATGCTGGACGGTGGCAGCTTGAGGCCAAGGGGCTGCCACAGGAGGAAACTTCTTCCTCCCCACTGCTTGAGGCCAGGTCCTCTGTGGGTGGCGGGAAGCCCCACTGGCCCCCTCTCTGGCTCTGAAGGCTGCGGTGACAGGACCCTGGCCTGCAGGGTGGCGACGGGGCACGGTCACGCCCGGGCCCCCAGCTCTCCGATGCGCTGCCGCAGGTGAAAGGCAAACTCGAACATGGTGGCCGCGAGGCTCTGATGGATGAGGTACCGGGGCAGGTGGCCCTGCGGGAAGGTGGGAGGAAGTTTCGGGATGGCCCGCCCTCAGCAGGGGCTCCCCGCTCCGGACAGGCACCAGCGGGGGTGGGGGGTGGGGGGTACCCTGGGTCAGAGCAGCAGGTGCAGGTGCCGCTCTGGAACGCAGCCTAAGCCACCCTGTCCCCCTCACCCCTGGCAGAAAGAACACGCTGTGCCGGCTCTTGGCACTGGCCACACAGACAGACCTAGGAGGGGCCGGCTTGGCAGTCAGCCACCGCTCCACAGGGCCTCGACCCTCGGAGGTAAGGGGACACACAGGCCCTCCAGCAACTCAGGACACCATCTTGACCCGGCCCCCAATTTGAGCGTAGGAGAGGAGGTGGGGTAGGTGAGGTCCTGAGCATGACAGGAGGCCCCACGCAGGCGCCCCAGCAGCGTCTCTACTGTCCCGAGCCAGCCTTGCAGCCCCGCAGCCCCACCTTGAGATCTGTATTCAGGATCCAGATGAAGGTGCAGACTCGGGGGTTACGGGCTGACTTGAGCACGATGAAGCCCCCAGGACCATTCTCTCCCCTACGAGAAAAGCACCATTGGGGGGCACCTTGGAGCCAGGCAAGGCCTCCGACCTGACCCCACACCCCATCCTTGGCCCATCCTGGACTGGGGTAAAAGAGGGAAGGGAGCTACTGGTCTAGCAACTGCCACTCGGCCTGAGCAGGGCCCAGAGCAGGTGTCCCAGAGGCCCCAGGATACAGCCCTCCACGTACCCTGTGAGGCTCAGCTCCCCCTTCTACAGCCTTCTCAGCAACCCCCCACCCCACCCCACCCCATCCCCGGTGGCAGCCGTCATCCTCTCTGTGCAGGGATTCTCGGTCAGCTCTGGCTGGGAGGGGTGGGGTGTGCACGCTTTTCTCACCCAGGCCCGACTCGGGGAGCAGTGTGGTGCTGGGGGTGCTCCAGGAGGGGGCGCCTTCCCAGGAGGCGGGCAGGGCACATCCCATCCCCAGTCAGTTCCCCCACAGCCCCACTGAGCGCGCTCAGCCCACGCCACAGATAAGGAAGTTGGAGCCCAGAAAGAGGCCAGCTCGTCACCCAGGCGTCTGGTGTGTCAAATCTCATACTCCACACCCAGTGCTCTCTGGAACCCCAAGAAGGATGGGGAGAGCGGGGAATCGGGGAGGAGGCCGCCTGCAGCACTGGGGTCTAGGGTGAGGCACCAGGAGAACTGGAGGATGCCCCGGGACAGGTGCCCCTTCCTTCGTGGGGACCTCCGAGCAGTCCGGGAAAAGGCAAGGCAGCGGGACCAACTCTACTCAGGCAGGGAGGTAAGGACACAGAGCCTTCTGCTCAGGTAGCCTGGACCAGCGCCACCTCGTGGCTCCCAGCCCCCCTCCATGGACTCGTCCCTGTCCTCAGGCTATCCCTGGAGCCACCCTCCAGCCTGGGCATTGGGCTCCAGCCCTCAGTCCCCCAGTCCCCAGGACGTAGAGCAGATTAGCAGGATTAGGGGCTCGGAGGGGCAGAGCCCAGCAGGACAGGGGACAGGAAGGCGGTCTCGGCAGGAAAAGCGCCCTGCGGTCCGTGCTGTGCCCTACCCTGCCCTCACAGCCACCAGGGGACGGGCCAGCCGGGATGACTCCAGGCAAAGCAAGGCTCACCTGACGTATTTGTGTGTGGGGGGCTTGGCGCAGTGCGTGGTGGCGATGCCCGAGGACAGGTATCGGTCTCTGCGCCGCTCGATGCGCCGCACGTTCACGAAGTCCCTGGGGGCGGGAGGGTTAGACTGGGAGCAGGGAGCCAAGCCCACGATCCAAGGGCAGGAGGCCTGCCTGAGAGGAGGGGCTTGGTGGTGCTCACCTGGGGGAGACCACCCCGCCCGCGGCCCCCGAAGAGACATCGTAGGAGATGAGGGTGTTGTCCTCTACTCGCTGCAGGATCTAAAGGCCAGCAGAGATGTGAGGTACAGCCCAGCCCAGGAACACCCCAGGGAAAGGGTCCCAGCGCCTCAGGGAACCCCCAGACCAGCCTCCTCTCCTCTCTGTCCAGGTCCCTGTACTAAGAGCCACTCCCAGGCCCTGGGCTGGGCTCTGTCTACGTGCTCCCTCTCCATCCTCCAGACCCTCTCCAGAAGGCGCCATTACTATCAGCCCCATTGTACAGACGGGGAAGCTGAGGCACGGAGCAGTTCTATGACGTGGTCGTGCTGGGGGATGAGTGCACCTGACCCGCCATGCTGCTCTGCCCCTGCCCTGAGAGGTGGCCAGGCTGGGCCCCCCGGACCGGCTCACCTGGCAGGCAGTCACGGTCTTGTTCCACAGCACCATCCTCTCCGGCTGCAGGATCACCTCCTGGTACACCAGCTCGGCGGGGCAGGGCAGGAAGGTCTGGGGCAGGGCGGACAGAGGGCTGGATGGGGCCAGACATGCTTGGGCACAGCAGCCCTCCCCTCTTGGTGCGGAGAAACCTACCAGAGGGCCCCTCAGCCCCTTGCTGAAACCTCAGACAGAGCAGGAGGCTCCAGGACCCTCCAGACACCTGCGTCCGTCACTCACCTTCAGGATGAATGTCTTGCCGTGAAAGGGAACCTCGATGGTGTACACGGTGTCCCCATATTCCTGTGGCAGAGACAGAAGGGTGATAGGGAGGTGGGCGGAGGGCAGGGGGAGGGCACGCAGGGTGGGCTGGTGGGGAAGGAATGGGCGCCCAGATAGGGCGGCTTCGTAATAGCTCAGGGTGGAAAACTCCAGGAGTTCAGCGATATTCAGGCAGCCATTAAAAAACCGTGGTTCTGACAAACGTCCAGCAATGAGGAAAGGCTTCTGATGTCAAGTTAAAGGACAGAAGCACAGCTGCAGCCGCGACCACGAGGACCTGTGTCTCCAGGCCGGCCAGGGCCACCCGAGGGACTGGCCACAGAGAGGGACGGCGACGTGTCCCCCATTCTCCAAGCTCACTGCCATCTCTTTAGATAATGTTGTTTTGCTCATGAAACAATACACTGGACACAGGGCCGAAGCCTGGCTTCCCCCTCGAAGCCGGAGCTGAGCGAGCAGGGCACAGGGAGCCAAGGGTGGGCGCGGGGCAGTGCCGCAGGGGGAAGGCACCCTGGAAACATCCGATCCGGCCCCACCTCCTGCCAAGCGGCGACCCCGGGGCCCAGCCCCCTCTCCTGGCACAGGAATATGGTTCCAACCTGGGCCATCCTTGGGCTTCTCGGGCCTCAGAAGAGAAAGCAAAAACTCCCAACACACATGGCGGGTCAGGTGGGAGAGAGCTTTCTTACACTGTTCTTCTCAAACTTCCAGTTCTCCTCCTGGGCCAAGATCTGGTCCACCACCGCCATGGCCTCCTTCCCCTGGTGGATGTACTCCCGTTCCTGGCCCAGGAGGAGAGGCAGGACAGGATCAGCCCGGGGCCCGCCCGCCCCCTTGTTCGTGACCAGTTCTTTCTCCAGATACTCCATACACATGGAGTCTGGGTTGGTCTCTCAGGCCCTGTGGGGGCCCCAGGTGCTGTGGTCATGGCCGCCCCCCTTAGGCCCCAGTATGAGGCGGCCCAGCGGGCCTGACTGACGGTGGGACAGACACTCAGGTGCACGCTGACTGGCATTCGGGCCACCTGAGGTCCACCCTCTTCGGGGAGGCCCCTGCCCACCCTGGCTAAGCCCAGCACTGGCACCTTCTCCAGGGTGCCCACTCCAAAGGTCAGGTGGGGGCGGGCAGCCAAATACCTGGGCAGAGAAGCTTTTCTTCCCAACGTCTTCATCGGATTCATTGTCAGACCCTGCGGAAAACAAGTACAGATGACAACAGGAAGGTGTGGGGACAGACTGTGGGGAGGTAGCAGGGTACAAGACTGCGGGGGGATAGATAGGGAGAGGGGTGCTCACTTTCCCCAGGGAGCTGAAAGAAGGAACAGAACAAATAGACCCAGCCAACCCACTTCTCATAAAGACCCTCGCTGAAGCAGCTTCCCACCCACCAGCCCTCACCTGCAAAGGATTCTGGGGGTGAATAGAATTGGCCCTCGGACAGAGCGCCAGAGAAGAGTAGGGGTCCACGGGCGACAGCAGCCTGGGCAGCAAGATACCCTGGGGGAGCAGACACGGGCAGCCATTGTCCCAGAACAAGGACAGTCATGCCTTAGCAGCCTGGGGTCCCCCCACTCCAAGCTCACCCTTAGGTTCTGGGAGGCTGTTCAGAGTTGGCAAGATAGCTCAGAACCGGCTCTCATGCCCGAAACTCTCCTCTCTTGGGGCCGCGATGACCCTCCCTGCACCCCTGCCCCAGGACTCACATCGCTCTTCCTCGGCCTCCTGCGGTAGGACTTTGAAGTCAAGGAACCAGGTCTCCAACCAGGCAAGGACAAAGGAGACGATAGGGAGCAGGTAGCCAAACGCCCCTTTGCTGAGCAGCTGTGGAGGAAGGGGGCTGAGCTCCACAGCAGGGGGTCACCCCAAACGCAGAGTCCCCTCTAGGGGCTGCTAGCTCTGGGACACTCCCCACTCCTGGGACCAGCTGCTTGGGGACCCTCTGTGGCACATGCATCTGAGATTGATGAATGAATTCTGCAGCAGGATAAACTGAGGTTAGGCTGGCAAAAGAACTTTTTGTTCTTGGGGTTGCAGAGGGACAGGTGGAGGAAGCCCATGAAGATGATTCCTTGGAAATATCAAGGACAGGATTCCCCCTCACCCCAACCTGACAACAGGGACAGACGCCCCAAGTCAGAGAAAGGGTCCCTTCTTAGGAGAAGCCCATCCCTCCGGCAAGAGGCCCACCAGGCCAGCCTGACCCTGAGCCACCGACCTCAGAGAGGATGACCTTGACGATGAGGAACGCACTGGACACCAGCGTGGTGACCTGCCCAGCGGAGGGAAGAAGGGAGAGAGGGAAAACGGGCTGGGGAGTGAGTCCTCCTCTACACCGTCCCTTGCACCAGCCCCGCCAGGGCCCTCGGGCCGCCAGAAGGGCGTCTTACCGCGATCATCCACCAGTGGCGGAGCCGCAGCACGGCGTAGCCCAGAAGCAGTCCCGAGAAGCGGAAGAAGGCCAAGACCTGGCGGGGGGCAGGGGGGGCGGGCAGGGGACACACAAGCCATCACAGGCAAGCCAATGCCCCCTGCTCCAGCTGAAGGCTGACCTCCCCCTCCGGTCCTGCTCCCCAGGTTCCCTCTACATGGGTGTGATGCGTCGGGAGGGAATGGCTGAGTCAGTGTTTCTTAGGGGATGATTTAGACGTGACCTTCTTGGACAGGGGTCTATTCTTCCCCCTCACACTTGAGGCTCTCTGAAGGGAGGGCCTTGATTAGGAACTTTCCGAATACTGAGGGCTCCCTGAGGATGGGAGTCAAGTCTCCCCGACTAGACTAGAATGTGTCTTGCAGAAAGAAGAGAATCCAGCCAGGGTCATGTCCCTGCACCATCTCTGCCCCCCGGGGACCCCTTCCCTAAGGCCACTCACAAAGATGTCAAAGAAGGAAGTTTTAAAGTTGTAGTGGATGATCTCCTGCTCCAGGTTCTTCTGGATGCCTGTGTTGGTCTGGAAGAGGGAGATACGAGCGGCTCTGTAGGCAGAACCAAGTCCCCAGGGGTGTCCTCACCTCTGGGAATAGGGAGGAGGCAGGGGGAGTGTGGAACCTGGAGATGATAAGCCACTGCCCAAGGAAGGCCCCAAAGTACCAAGGGAGCCCAGCCAAGGCCTGAGACCCCAGCACTAGTGTCGTTCCTCCAAGCACCCAGGCAACCCCGACGGGCAGGGCCTGGCTCCAGCACTGACACCTGTCGGCACACTGCCCAGGGAGGGAGAGGCCTGGAAGGCCGTGGGGCTGTGCAGGGGAGGCAACAGGCCCCATGCAGGCAGGTAGGGTTGCCAACTGGGTGCTGGGAGCCGGCCTTTCACATAATCTCATCTCCCTCTCTCCATGACGGTGCTCCATCTTCCCAGCCAACCATCCATCTGGGGTGATAGGGACCGGGGGTGGGCAGCGGTGTCAGACGGAGCCCCAGGTGGTAAGTCAGTTGATTAGGTTTGTGCTTAATGGGCAAAATCCATCATGCTGCTAGAGGGAACGGCTAGCAACAGAGACAGAGTGAGCAGACTCGTCCTCACCCCCGTCCCTGCCCCAGCTACCCATACATTTTCAATGGGTCTCCTGATACCTTGGCTGGGGAGGGAGAGGATCTGGACGGATACTGAGAGCCAGACTGCAGCCTGACTTCTCAGGAGGAATGGGGTGGCAGGCCTCGGCTTCTGCCAGTCCCCTGGAGAAGGGAGGACACAAGAGGACTCTGAGGAATGGAGCCCAGGGGGCTGAAAAGTGAAGACCCTTCACGACACCTAGATGGGAGCTTCTAATCTCTGGCAGGTGATCCAAACTGAGGTGTGGGGTGGTGCTGATTAAGACACAGATGTTTAGACCCCTGAGTCCGAATCTCAGTGTGAGCTGAGCATCTGGAATTTTTATAAAGCTCCCAGGTGATTCCGGTGCTTAGAGCAGAAGCCAGTAGTCTGGGCAGCCCCCTCATTGACACGTGAACGCCCCTGCACATCCCCACCGTGTGCTTTGACCTCAGGACCCCCCTGAGTCCCATGGAGTCTCACGCGCCACCCCCCCCCACACTGACACCCCCCCCACACCCCAGCTTGGTCCTCCTCTTACTCCTCTTGCCCCCTCTTGGGCTCCACGGTCCCTCTGATCCCTAACAGCTGCGGCCCCTCAGAGGTCTCCCCCTGCCTGGGCACGTGCAGGCGCTGATGGCGAAAGCGTCCTGACTCAGGGGTGCCAAGTCCTGGCCCCTGCCAGTCTCTGGCCGCAAGACCCTGCGTGGCTCTTGTAACCCTGCTGGGGGCCTTGTATCCACTGGGAAACACCCAGCCTGTTCAAGAACTAAAAACATATATGCTCCAAAATATGAAACTAAAACCACAAAACCAAAAATCAATCACATTTTAATTATCTACCAAGTGAAACATGATGGCTAACTCCACTAATGGCTAAGTCCAGCTTCCTGAACTTTTCATTACATCTGAAGACAATCTGGAGATCAGACTTTTCTCCATTTGCAAGAATTCCCAAGGATGCATGAGGACTCCTGAGCTGTTATAGCCGTACATCCAGATCATTTCAAAAGTAAAATTATCAAAATTTTTTCAGCTGTCTGCTGGCAAGATAATATATATTGAATGAGGGCTGTGTGACTTTTAGTGCTTGCTTTGATGCTGGATGGGACCTTCAAAAGGAAGAATGCCTCACGGGGTGCCTAGGGGCTGCAGCTGGCGGAATATCTGACTCTTGGTTTCGGCTCGGGTCGTGATCTTGGGGTGGTGCTCTCAGGGTGGTGGGATGGGCTCCTGCCAAGCCCAACCTCGTGGTTCAGCCACTGGTCCTGTCAACAGTCTCTCGGCCTGCCCACCCCCCTCATTGGGCTCTGCACTTAGCGCCGAGTCTGCTTGAGATTCTCTCTGCTCCTCCCCCCACTCCCCGGGTCTCAGTCTCTGTCTCTGTGTGTGTGTCTCTCTCTCTCTCTCTCTCGCAAAATAATAAATAAACCTTAAAAAAAAAAAAGTTGTTAAAAAGGAAGAATGCCTAAGACATCAGAAGCTCTTCAAACAGCCCTGGACCTTGTGGGGCCGCAGCTTTCTCACTGATAAGATGGTCCCTAAGGTCCCCCATGGCTCAATCTTGTTGAAGGTGCCAGTTCATCTCTGTGCACAAAGGACAGTCACCCCCAGAGCCCTCCAGCTGAACACGCCCAGAATCACACTTGTCCTCTTCACCCTTAAACCAGCCCCTCCCCCCAACTCCTCACTTCTTTCAACAAAGTCATCGTTTTCCTGTCACCCAAGCTTGAGGCCGGGAGGAAGGGCACCTGCTATCCTGAACTCTGACCCAGTGTGCAGAAGGAAAACAAGGGAAGGCTCAGGCAAGCCGAGTCCCTTGCTGACATCCCCCAGTGAATACAGAGGAGCAGCTGGGACCGACAGAGCCTGGGGTGCTCTGTTCTCTCGGCTCCTGCCTCTGTGGTGGGGTCCTGCTCCGGCCTGTCAGTGCCTGGAGATCAGGTGCCGCCACCAGCTGGCCAAGCGCTGCCCGGCGGCGGGGAGGGTGCGGACGCAGCATGGACAGGTGGCTCCCCCTCCAGGCTGCGAAGCGGCATCTCACCAAGCCCGCAGAGGCCAAACTGGGGGGCACTGGAGTTGTGTCCAAATGGGGAGGGAGAACTAGGCACCACCAGGAACTGGGAGTTTTTACTGGTTTGCCCCGCAGATACCCTCTGCGTTTAGCACAATGCCTGGGCTACAGCAGGTGTTCCAAAACTGCTAACAGAGTGAGTGAATGAAGGAATGAATGAATGGAGTCAGAGAGCGACACAGGCCAGAAAGAAGACAAAGGTTCAATAGCACAACCACCGTCCCCTGGGCTCTCTCCTGCTTCCTCAGGAGTGCCCACTAGAGGGCAGTCTGGCGCAGAGGTCAGGAGTGGGAACGCGGCAGCCTGAGGGTCTGGGTTCAAACTCTGCCCTTCTTCACCTACTTGCTGAAGGACCTTAGACAAATGACTCCAGCCCTCTGAGCTCCCTTTTCTTCGGAAGACGAGAATGGCTGTTCCTATCTTCCCATTCTTCATTTTACTGGGAAATTCACCCGGCCACAGAGACCACCCTGCCGTGTGGCAGCTGGAGTAAGGCCCAGGTGACCCCCACCCCTGCCCCCACCCCGGCCCCAGCCTTGAGCCCACTCACGTTCAGCTCAATGATCCACAGCAGGGAGATGAAGAGCAGGTCGAAGGTGACAAAGAGACAGAAGGTGCGGCGGACATCAGAGATGGCACGGCGCTTCTCCGGAGGGGGCGGGAGGAAGTGCGAGGAGAGGCCCTGGCTGTGGGACAGTGATGAGCTGAGGGAGGCCACGGCTGGCAGGCTGCGCTCCAAGTCGCGGGCCAGCTCCGCAGACAGTTTGTTCATCCTGGTGGGCCCCCACCACACGGCGGGGAAGGCGGGGCCTCAGCTGCAAGGCTGCAGGGAGGCAGGGTGGCTGGGTCAGGTCACGCATGTTGAGGGCCTGGAGGTCCCATTAACCTCCTTCCCCCAACCCGCCAGGGACACCATTTGCTCCCAAATACGTCTGCCCCCCTCTCACATCCCAACCCCAGGGCAGCCCAGGGCCCTTCAAGCTCAAATTCTCTCCAGCAGCCCCACTCCTGGGCTGGAGAGGTTTGAGCATCCTTCTCTCTCATTCCTCCTCACCGCACAACACGCCCCCCCCCCCCCCCCCAAGCAAAGCCCAGCGACCCCACAGTTCACCCTTGGAGGGCTGTGGGCTCCTCCCCACTGCTTGAGGGCGCAGCCTGCTCCTGCCAAGCCCAACCTCGTGGTTCAGCCACTGGTCCTGTCAACAGCCTCTCGGCCTGCCCACCCCCCCAGGAGAAGAGGGCCCCAAGCTCTGTTCTTTGTTTGCCAAGCACAAAGCCACATTCCCTCCCAGCAGCCAGCCCTACCCTCCCACCCCCTGATCCATGGCAACTGGGAGGGACTTCCTAGAGCAGCGTCTCTGAGTGCTCTGCGCTGGGACAGCGGGTAAGGAGGGAGGACATCCTGGTCCCTTCTCCCTAGCTCCCCCCCAAATGTTGGGCCCAACTACCATCCGCTCCCCTGGTGTTACATACAACAGCCGAGGGGGTGAGTCTCCAGGCTGCGTCTCGCACAGAGAGGGGTTTTCCAAACACTGATCACAGCCCTCAGTTCCAGAGCTCCAGTCCAGGCCCTGCGGGGCGGTGCCCCCAGCTCTTCCGGAGCTCCGGGCCCCGAGGCTCCTCCGACAAGGCAGGCGCGGCTCACCACCACCACCACCACTCTGGCCTTCTTTTAGGTCCCTCCGTGTGGCAGCCGGACACCGCCTCGGGGCCTTGCACCTAGCCCTCCCCTCCCCAGTCCTTCCAACAGGCAGCTCAGAAGTCCCCCCTCGTTCTCCTCAGAGCACCCCCCTGCCCCCCCAGGCACAGCAGCCTTGCTCTAGCTCTATGATGGGGACCCGGAGCCTGTGACAATGTGCCAGGGTCTTATTCCTTGTTCTGCCAATTCTCCCGGTGCAGGGCTTTCCCGGGCCCGATCACTGCTGTCTCCAGCACCTAGCACTGGGCCCGGCAGCCAGGAGGTGCTGAGAATTGCCTGGTGAGTAAACAGGTGCTCCAGAGGGTCTCCTGGTCCTTAGCTCCATGCTATGCAGCCGAGACATGGCGCAAACCCTGACAGAGAAGAGCCAGCGCTGCCTGAGGCTAGCCCCGAGCTCCACTGCCCCCAGAACCCCGTGCCCATGGCTGTGCTTCATGCCCACTCAGGGCAGGATGGGGCCTTCTGTGAGGCAGCCAAGACAGAAGGGGGAACGGGGTGAACCACCCCTTGCCTCTGCGACCACGGGGCCAAAACTCTTATGAACGCTAGAGGCAGGGGCCCCCGGAGGACTCCCTCCCTGCCACACAGCCCCCAGACCCCAGGTCTCTGCTCCACCAATGTGCTGGCAAAGAGCCTGCAGAGGCCCCGTCTCCCGGGCGGGGGAAGAAGGGACAGTGTGGTGGTGCCCGCGCTTCTGGGGCTCCGTCAGAGTCTCCCTGAATCTTCTCTCATGCCAGCACCAGGAGGCAGGTTTGCGGGCCGGTGGGAGGAGAACCCTGCATGTTGGTCTCCAATCCCGGGAAGGCAAGATCTAACCAGTATCCCCCTCCCACCCCGATCTGCTATCCCTTCATACCTTTGTTATGTCTACTACCTTCTGGGGCCCCTCAATCTATCAGGTCCCAAACAAGCTCCCCATTTGTGACTGGCAGGGGATTCTGAGCAAGCCAGTGTGTCCATCCCTCTGCCTCAGTGCAAGCCCCAATGGACAGGAGCGGACTGTTCTCAGCAGAGGCATCTGCACAAGGCCACCTCCCAATAGCACACTCTTGGGGTTGCCATGCCCAGCTCATCTGGAGGGCACTGAAGGAAAGCCAGGCCCAGCTCTGGAAGGAGGCAGTCAGAGAGGGGATGTGACAGGCCGCCGGCAACAGGAATGCCCCCACATCCATCAGCTGGACCTGGTGCCAGACCGAACACGCAGCACATCTCTCACTGTGACAGGGCCCCAGCTCCAGGGAGGGTGACATTTCCTTGTCGCTAATAGCCCTCTTGTCTGCTGCCAGGCCTGTCTCCATTTCTCTTCCTCCTTCCTGTCTCTCACAAACCACCTTTCTATCTTTGTGTCTCTGTGTCCCGCTCCTGTGTCCATCTTTATTGGTCTTCCTCTCCAGGTCTCTCCCATCTGTGAGTCTGTCTCCACTGCCCTCAGCTCAGTCTCACCCTGCCTTCCTCCCACGCGCACGTGTGTGTGTGTGTGTGTGTGTGTATCACCCTCCCTATCCGCTTCTCTCCCTCTTCCCGACACACTGCAGGGTGCTGTGGCTTCCCTCCTCCCGGGCTGCTCCCAAGTCTGTCTGGCATTGCCCCTGGCTCCCTCCCTCCCTCCCTGGGGACGGGACTCGGGTGGCAGCAGCCTGATGGGAGATGCCCCGGGAGCATTGACACTCACACATGCAGACGTCCTTGGTGAAGCGAGAGACGCAGATGGGGGCTGAGAGCAAAGGTGTGGGGGAGCCCGGGAGAGCTGCAGACACGGGTGTGTGGGAGCCAGGCACAGGGCCTTGGAAGAAGGGCTGGGGGCAGCTGGCCAAGAGGCAGAGAGAGGGGGGTTCCAGATCACCCTCCACCATGAAAGCTGCTCAGAATCCAAAGAAGAGCTTGTAGAGTAGAAGGAGCCCCGGTCAGGAATGAAGACCTGAGTCCCAGGCATGCGGCAGCCACTAACCCCGAATAACTGGGCAAGTCCTCACCAAGCCCCTGTTTATTTATCTGGGGGAAAAAGTCAGTGCTTTTTCAAACCCCCTTCTTCAAGCAAGAGAAATGTCGAAAGAGAAGAGAGGAGAAGAGAAGAAAACCTTACTTAGAATCTTGAATAGAAGAAAGATAAAAACGGGACTGCTATGGGTCCTGCCACAGAAGGTGGCCACAGAGAGCCCCCCTGGGCAGCCATTCCTCAAACCCCAGGGTCACCCCAGGGTCACTTCCTTGGGCCCAGTTTGAAAAATGCCTACTCAGATGACTTCAAAAGGTCTCTAAGCTCCATCAGACCACCTGCCAGTCTAGGAGGTAGAAATCATCTCGGCCTGGAACTGCTCTGAGCGGTCCCCAAAGCGCTTGGTCTCTGGTCCCCTCGCCCTGGGGGCAGGAGGTGGCAGCTGGCCTCCACCCCCACATGCCCCCCATCCTGCTGAGGGGGAGGCAGGAATGAGTGTTGTGGGCTGGAGACAGCAGGGCTGCCACCCGGGCCCCTGGGAGCAGCATCCCCTGCCCCACCCAAGCCCCTGCCCAGGCGCTGGGAGAACAGCACATGTGGGGTGAAGGAGTCCGCCTGGGGTCGGCTGCAGACTTGACACTCACTCGACGTGTGTTTTAGGAGAAGCTGAGCTGCTCAGGCTTGGGGAAGGGGGTGAGGAAATTGCAAGTTTTATCATCCCAGATTGCAAGAGAAAGAGGGGTGAGGAGGAGGGGGCAATCCACCCTGGATTACTCCAGTTCTTTCAGCTCCTGGGGCAAAGGGGAGAGGCAGGCATGGGAGCCCAGGGCCTGCCGGGCCTTCTCTTACCCCAGGAAATGCCACTATTGGCCAGAGAGCAAGAGGAACTTTCGGGTAGGGTCCCAGACTCAGGGCAGGTAACAGCAGGCAGCTGACACTGTGGAAAGAGAGCTGGACTCTGAGGTCAGGGTTCAAATCTCAGTCTGCCCTTATGAGCTGTGCAATCTGGAGCAAACATAACCATTCTGAGACTCAGTTTCCTCAGAAGCATTAAATAAAGGCACCATTAATATACTTAATGCCTTGGTACCATGCCCTTAAAAATGCTTAAAATGGGGGGCTCCTGAGTGGCTCAGTCAGTTAAGCGTCTGCCTTCAGCTCAGGTCATGATCCCAGGGTTCTGGGATCGAGTCCCGCATCGGGCTCCCTGCTCAGCGAAGAGTCTGCTTCTCCCTCACAATCTGCCTGTCACACCCCCCCCCCCCCCGCCGTTTGTACTCTCTCTGTCAAATGAATAAAATCTTTAACAACAAAAACAAAACCCCCACAGGACCGCAGGCCGTCCTGAGGAGCCAGCACAGAAGAAACAAATGTGGCCTAGCAGTGACCTGCGTCGGCAGGCTGCAGACACCCCTCCTTTACTCCTCACACCCCCACCAGGAGCTGTGCAGATGATGATGGGGTAGAGGAGACAGAAGGCTGGAGAGGCCTGCCCACAGTTCCCCAGGCAGGATGAGGCAGACCTGACCCCAGGGCCTCTGCTGGCCAGGGAGCCCCTATGACCACCCAGCGAGAGCCTGTGGAGAGCCCAGCACCCTCCCCTCCACATACAAACCATCAGCAAATCTTATTGGCTCTTCCTTCAAAATCCAGCCAGTGTATGTGCATACTGCCCACCACGACTACCGAAACCCCGTCCAAACCGCCACCTCTCACCTGCTACAGCTTCCTGACCACCTCCCTGTCTGCATCCCAAGTCTGTTCTCAACACAGCAGCCAGAGGGATCCTGGTAAAAGTCAGACCACACCTCCCCAGTGCTGCAAACCTCCAATGGCTTCCAGCTCACCCTGAGTGAAGGCCAACGTTTCCATCCTGGCCTACAAGCCCGCTCTTCCCCAGCCTCTTCCCCTGGAACCCTCTGCTCCAGCTACACTGGCCCTTCTCTGTTCCATGGACATACCAAGCATGCTCCACACTCCCACCCCAGGACCCTTGTACCTGCTGTCCTGTCTGTCTGAAGGTCTTCCCCAGGTCTCTGCAACACTCCCTCCATTCTGTTCTCTGTAAATGTCCCTTTGGAGAAGCCTTCCCTGAACTCCCTATTTAGCCTCCACCCTTCATCCCCTTCCCTGCGTTCTTCTTCTTCACAGAGCTTACCACCCCAGACATATTATATGTTTACGGGTC